ATATTTCTACATATTTCATCTACATGTAAACATATTTTTATAATTGAAATCATCCTAAATCATCTATAACATATAAATTCATATTTGAAAACAAACTTGTATGAATAAGAAATAATCAGCAAAAGAATTCATTTTTAGACAAAATTTTTCTTGAGAAAAAAAGATAAAGAAAGTTATTTAATTCTTTATTTTTCGATATACAAAAAAAAAATAAGTACATTCATCTATGTGATTACAATTCTCAATAGATTTCGTACTAAATAACAGACACATTAATAATGTTGTCGGAACGGATAGGATGAATAGAATATATATAATTAATTAGCAGACATTTCGTACGTGTTAGATTTTATCAAAAATGACAAGAATAGATTGGTTTCATTTATCTGGATATAAGTACTCATATGGTAAAAATTAAATCTATGATTTATTTAAAAGAGATATTTTTCAAAGTGAGCTATCAGAGAAATGATTGTCTCAAATGAAGATCTTTTCATTCTCTAATTATGAAAAGGTTCACTAAAATATTTCATGACCCATGAAAATTCGTAGTAAATATATCGATCTCTATTCTTTCAAAATATGAATAGTATTAACGTATGGTAAAGCTTAGAACTTGAATAACGAGTTTTTACGTATTTCAAAGGATTTGTAATTTTTTGTTTCTTAAAATTCTTCAAGAAAAGTTGATTTTTGCTTTTAATGTCTATCTTTATTCATTATACATCAGATATTCCTGATGTGCGTGTTAGTTTTTTTATAAACTTAGTGAACTTGAAAGAAAACTTCATTTCCATTTTTAAAAGCAATTTAGAAAATGTTTATACAGGAGTACGGAATGACCTTGTTGATGAAATATATCACACATAATTAACAAAAATTAGTAATTAGTATAAGATTATTAATGAATAAAATATTTATTTTGTTCTAAATGAACTCCAATGTTCCTTATCATATATCATAATGTGTACTCCGTGCATTTCGTCAGATAAAAGCCTATTATATTACAGATTTACGAAGTTTTTATAAACGATTATTCTAATCAAGATTTTCAATTAGAATGTTCAAAGAAAGTTTCTAAATATATACATGTAGAAGATTTAAAGAACTATTTGTAAACACTTTTTACCGATTGTTTGATTTATTATTAATCAATAACTATGTTTGTTTTCTGTTTAATGTTTTGTGAATTTATTAATATGTAAAATATTCGTATGGCTTTTAATTTATATGATTGATGATTTAAAAAAAAAAATTCTTCTTTTTCTTTTTCTTTTCTTTTTCTTTGGCATTTTTATTATCATATCAATTGTCAAGTGAAGCAAACTGTTGAATAAAAGAGAGAAAAGGAACTAGTCGAACTTCATATACTAATTGACTTTCTAAACATGCATAGCAATCACGAATAATTTCTTAAGTTACCATATTTAATATTCAACAGTGACTTTTTCTTCATTCTTTCTATCAGTAAGGTCTTAGAGAATAGTCAGGTGAGAAAAAGTTATATCCATTTACGTGACTTTCAACGTATTCTCTTTCATTTCCATAGTTAAGTAAAAAAAACTATTACTATACAATTGTCTACATTTATAAACTATATTTAACGAAACTTATCATTAGACGCGTCTAGTATATAAAAGGTTCACTTATCGAGTTATAGTTTGAACAAAATATACAAGTAATACATCGGTAAAACTAATGTATGTATTGTATCTATAGTATTTGTTTTTCTTATATATTTAGTAAAGAAAAATCCTACAATAAATGGTTCGATTAACACCGGATAGTCTTAGTCAAAAGATTGCTTTCACTGCAGTCGCTTTTGGTACAATAGCATTAGTACTTGCATGTGTTGGTATGGGGACACCGAACTGGTATATTCAATATGGTCCAAAACTAAGTGGTACCGGTTACTATAAAATATCATCGGTCAACTTTTTCTATTCATGTAATTGGATGAACGATGGTACATTGATTAATTGTACAAAACGTAATGGTAATCTTTATGGTTATCCTTATTCTTCGGGAGCTTTATGGATGAATGATTTTTATCAACGTATGCAGAATGCTGGTGCATTATGTATTGTTGGTATTATTTTTATTGCATTTGGTACTTTAGCTACACTAATTATGGCACTTGTTTACTTTCCAACATGGGTTAATCTTTTTCCACCTATATTATTTTTTATTGCTTGTCTCTTTATGCTTGCTGGTATGGCTGAAGGATCTCGTTATCTTCTTTACAATGGTTATTCCGTTAATCTTTATCAAACTGGTCATTTACTTACAATGTTTGCTCTCTTTTTGAGTGCTCTTTCTGCTGGTCGTATTCATTTCTCACGATGGACTGAAGCCGATATAAACACAACACCAAAATAATTTAAAATAAACTTTCACTCAATTATACGTTTTATCTTCTTATATTTGTATTGTTTTTGTCTGTTTTATTTTGATTTGAGTTTTAGTCTTTTCTTTAATAAATTCTATCAATGATTAAACTTATAATCACAAACAATAATCGAGATTGATCTATTCATTGTTTTATTCTATAGGCAAAAAATAGTCTTCAGATACTGTTTAAATTAATAGTCGTGTCACATTTCAATTCTGAATATCCTTGATAACATATGTTCACCTTCAAAAGTAGCAGATGGACTTATATTACAAAGTATAAGAATATCTTGTTGAATAAATTATATATTTGATTATCACATGTTTAAATATTTTATTTATACAATATAAAATGAACTAAAAGCTGGTGTCTTAAATTACATAACGACATTTTTTTTAAAAGAATTTTAGAATGATAATCAATTCAAGAATAAGTTAAATGAAAGTACAATATAAAAATAAATGTTCATATATTTTATTCATTATTACAAAATATTTGAAAATCTAGTGATATAGATAAACAATAGATTTATTTTAAGAGTTAAATAATCATTCATATTTAAAAAGAAGAAAAAGACATTGATGATAATAATTTTATATAGAGAAATTTGCATTTGTTGAAATAATGTATTTTTATGATTTTATAGTCTAGATTTGTCAATGTATCTTAGAAATAATCAACTTATATTAATTGTTAGAGTAACAGCTGATGGTTCAATTAGTGGTTATTACAATGTATTACATATGACTATACTCAATACCATATTCATCGGTGGTTAATGCATCTCGTTATTTTCATGTAGTAGATATGCCTACTGACTTGAATATACTCATCGTTGCTGGTAAAGGATTCACAAAGTCCGAATATACGACTGAGAATGAAGATGCTGTAATTTTTGATGGTTATAACTATACTTCATATAATGGATTTGCTTTAATATAGAATGAAACATATTTGAATAATGCTATAGTTAAACGTGCTCATCATCAAGCTACATATATTATACAACTGAATGCAGTATTAATTACAGGAAGAAATAGTCATACACATGTGTATTCTACTTGCTATTTATCTTGTACAAATTTCAATACTACTGGTGCTAACATCTGTATTGATCACTGATGAAGCTACAATGATAAATAATGGTGCACCGAATACTGCAACAGTTTCAGTCGAGAGATACAATTATAATACAGGTACATTTACTACTTTAGCTAATATGAAAGATGGACGCTATCATCATAATGGGTAGTATAGATCCCTATAATAATATATTACAAACTATAGAATTTATGATGTTTAATCTTGATTAAATATTATATCAATATTTAATTTTTCTTCTGCAAATAAGTACAGAATAAATCAATCTGACAGATTAATATTAATGTTGATCAATCCTATCCGATCGGATGTTGCCAAATGGCAGCATTATGTTATAGGTGAGGTTACGGTATTTATTCGAATACGAGGCCGCAAAGGATTAATAAAAACTATGCCATTACTTTCTTTAAATTGTATGTTAACTAACAATTTTACTTTATTTAAATCAAACCACAAATCTTCATAAGGCATGATATTTAAAAAATATTTGATAACTTACTAGAATCAATTTAACTCGCAAACAAAAAATCTATTTCATTGTGAACTTTTTTTATATCAAGAACCAAAAGAAATTAAAATATTATTATTACAGTACTCAATATATAAGTGCAAATACCATATCAATACATGAATATAGTATACTAAATTACTTTCCTCACTTAAAACTAGGTAATCAGTTGACATCTACATTTCCTTTAGATATTAGCTTTCACTCATACTCTTTTTGGTGCTTGTCTCATTAGACATCAAAAGAAAATTCTTTTCTTTACCTCTGCTTTATTCTCGTATTCTTTTTGAATACATCCTGTATTCATCACAGCCAATCATAACGCATAACAAATTCTTAACGACATATTTTTGCCATCCTTGATCTATGTCATTATAATAAGAAAAAAGTGTAAAAAGATTATATTAATATCCTTATTTTTCTAGGCGTATATTTGTTCTGTCTGAGTTCCTTCACTCTTTTTTTTATTTCTGCTCACTACATCGAATGAGTATACTTCTCAAATGCATTTTTTCCCTTCCTATTCTATTCTTCAACTATTAGAACGTCGACGAGTCAAAATACATTAATATCATATTTGTATATTTTCCACTAAAGCTTGAATAACATCATAAAATAAATTATTTTATCTCTCAATCATTATAATCTAAAATAATATACACATAAAAATTATTGAATTACCAGTGCATAATAAAGTATGTATTAGTTAAATAATTTCTAAATAAAAACTATTCATTTATTATGAATTCTATAAGTTATATTTCTTCTTATAGGTTATTAAATGGCAGTATCGTCTACTCCACCACTCCCCTTGCCACGAATAGATGTGTGTAGTCGTGTATTAATCATAATCGTTAGTTTTTTTACGGGTGCTGCTTTAGCAACGGCAATCGTTGGTTTATTAACACAATACTGGTACTATTCTCAAGATTCAAATGGTAATATACTGTATCATAATTTATTTACGCAATGTTCAGGCAATATAAGAAATGGATCATCAACATGTTTGGATATACAACGAGACAATGATCTTGGCGTCAGTACTTTGTATGCAGCAGCATTTTTAATTGTTGCTATTTGTCTAATTGGTTGTGCTATGTTTGTGACATTAGCCATGAATTGTGTACTATTAACTGGTACATTATTATTTGTTGCACCCATACTTCTCTTTCTTGCTGCAGGTTTTATGATTGCTCTTTTTGCAATAACTTCAAGAGTAACAATATTTAATGGTTATAGTGTTATTCTTGTTCAAACTAGTCATGGTCTTACCATACTTTCATTGGGTCTTATTGCTTTTGCTAGTGGACGATTACATACTTATTATTATGAACGATACTAAATTTTGTTATATTGTAATTTTATATATAATAATAAAAAAATCATTAAATAGAAATAATTTGAGTTGTAAAATGAATAATGACTGTTTTATAGCGACCTCATTTTTATGTAGAGGTGTTGTCATAACATGAATAATGACGGATGAAACACGAGCGATGCATAACTAAAGTCGTAGTTTCATGTTAAACACGTTTAAAATATGCAACAAATACATACAAATCGAGATCTAATGCCTGAAACAGCTATTCGTGAAGGAGACAATTCATCTAAGATTGTTCGTACGGATCTATCAACAATATTAAGCGACTATACTAATTCACAAAGACGTTGTATGTATAGTAATAAATTATAATTTCGATATTTGAAACATATTTATGTCTAGATAACGATCGTCTTGAATCTCTTGAACGTGAGATGGTATCATTGAAAGGTCAATTCAATGAACATGAACTTAATCAAACATTTACGACAAAAAAAACATCAAATCCTTCACCAACATCTGCTCGAGGTAGCAGTTCATCACGTATACCATTACCAGTAACTCCTCGACGACTATCTGATGATAAACCTGTAACACCTGCCACTAATACATCCAATACACATCCATTACCTTCAAAACCTGTGGGTCGTAGTAGATCTTTTCATAATAATACATCGGATGAATCAAAATTTCTACGATCTTATAAAATTCAACTTGAACAAGCACATCAAAACAATACATCTGGATCTCCAGATATAAGAGTACCAAATTATTCTAGTGTAGAAGAAGTAATACGAGCAAATGAAGTAAGTATTTAAATAATCGTATCATTATTATTCTATTTGTTTCATTATTAAGCAACTTTTAATGGAAAATGATCGTCTTCGATCTGATTTTAATCGTTTAAAAACAGAAAATATTTTATTACTTCGATCAATGAAAGCAACATCAACAGGAAATGAACCAAATCTAGGCAATGAAAGAGTATAATTTTCCAAATCTTAAGAATATATATTCTCTAATAACCTTTTTTTTGAATTCAAGATCATTGCGGAACGTGAACGTCAATCATTAACAGTAGAATTAGCACGACAAGCTGAAGAAAATAAACGTCTTCGAAAATCTCTACTAGCTCAATCAGCAAAATTTATAGCATTACGTCAATCTATTCATAGTACTTCTTTATCCACATCCAATGAACATCATTTTACATCAGTAAGATTAAAAAGAAATATAGTTCTAAAAAAAAAATGAATTTATTTTTATTCTATTAAGCAATCAACAATACCATCATTACCGAATTCAAGTAGAGTTTCCAAATCAAAATCAGCTCGACATAGTTCGAATAATCGAGCATCTGATCGAACAAATACATTTTCTCATGCCTCAAGTGATCTATTCTAGTTCTTTTTTTTCTCAATCATATAGAATATCTTTTATTTATTGTTGTATTTTATCTAAGCATTACATTATCACATACATGAATTTTTATATTTTATAAAAAAATTCGAAATATACATATACATACTCAGTTCGATATTTTTTTAAAAGAGATTTAGTTTATTAAATAAAAAAACAGTACGATTATAATCTTATAAGACACATGATGTTAAATAAATATTACTAGTGTGGAAAGAATCGATACAGGTGAATAACAATGTTTACTCATTATTGAAAGTATTTTAAACTACAGAACAATATTAATTCAGTTAAGCGAGAACAATTTTTGTTTGTACAATATCTAAGCTAATTGATTAAGTTTATATAGTTTGAATGAATAAAGTATGTGTTCTTGAGTTTTCAGACAAGACAACACAAGTTTATTATCAATATAGGATTACTTTATTTCCATCTTTTCTTTTTTGCTATTGTAAAGAAATAGAAGTGCTTTATTTGTTTAACCTTTTAATTCACATAAGTGATTTTATTTTTTCATAGATTGTTCTTAAATGTGTCAAAAAAAAATGTATTAGTGAAAGTAACAGATCGTTTTTTTTAAAGTTTAATTTTTTGTTGAATCCATGGTATATATGCGGATACTCGTGTATAAACTCCAGCTGCTTTACTTGATGCACATATGGTATCACCATAACTAACTATACCAAAGAGAAACCATTTTGTACCAATATTACGTATCAATGGTCCACCTGAATCACCTTGACATGAATCTGTACGTGTATCACGACTCATTGCACATATTTGACGAGTCTTATCCATTGAAAGACCTTGTTTTGCCCATGCATTACAGCTTGGTCCACCATATGAATCTCCATTATTATTAAGAATTTCTATATTAGCTTCTTGTAATTGTTGAGCTAATTGTTTTGTAGCACTATTTGTATAACCCCATCCTGCTATTTGAACAAATTGACCTATTTGTGGATCTTGATTACCATTACTATTTGGTAAACATATAGGATAGACTACTGAAGTAATTCGAGCAGGTGTACGTAATTTTATAATGGCAATATCATTAATTAATTTTGTTGAACTGTATTGTTCATGTCGAAAAATTCGATCAATTGTCAGTTGTTGCACATTACTTGATTGTGCTTGCCGTAAATTAAGTAAACCAGCTAGTACTTTATACATATTTGATGATGTACCTGATGAATCGAAACAATGAGCAGCAGTAATAACATGATAGGCATCAATTAAAGTACCACCACACTAAATAATATGTAGAATAATATTATCTATATGATCGATAAGTCATCAGATATACTTACAAAATGTGATCCTCTTATTTGTAGAGAAACAATCCATGGCCAAGTATGAGTATATACGGGTTGACCATTGACAATACGATCACCAAAATCAATTCGAGATTTAAGTTCACAAATACCACACGTATTTGATGAAGTTGTTGTAGCTAAAGTTGTAGCTGCAGACGAAACTAAAAATATTTCAATAGAAAAAAGAGTTGTAATTGTAATCGTATACTTTTTGTTTGGCATGTCGCGCCAGTATAATATTGAGGACATATACATGTAAATTCACCACGAATATTATTCTTCGGTAAACAAGTACCTCCATTAAAGCAAGGACGTTTTAATAAACATGGATTATTTGGAATAGCAGCGTTAGCTATTGTAGATGTTGCCGTAGAGTTTTGACAATTATTACCTGAATATCCAGAAGAACATACACAGTAATATGTTGCATCTGTACGATAATAACATTTTCCATGATTACTACATGATATCCGTATACATGGATTAGCTACAAATGATTAACATATATTTATTGATATGTAATTTTTCAAAAGTAATACTCTGAGAATATCATTGAAATAACTTACGTATTGAACAATCTGTACCTAACCATTGACCAGATGCATCACATCGACATCCATATTTATTTCCACCCATGTTCAGACAACTACCACCATTCTTACAAGTTATAGAACCACAACCTGTATAAATACAAATTAATTTTCGAAAAGAAAACATATCTCTTAAATCATACGTGTATTTGTATTTCGTATAGGTGCAAGATTAGGACTTCCGGTATTATTAGATTTCGTTACTTCTTTTCCTTTATCAGTTGCATCATAAATAAATTGTACTTTTATATCATTTATATTGTTAGATTTAACAGCAGATGTTTTTGATGAAAAATTGAATAAATAACATTGAGATTTTGGTGGATTATTAAAAACCAATGTTGATTCGTTAGTTTTTGTTGTATTTATACTTGATTGTACTTGATTCGGAATACTCAATGTTGCTGCATCGATCGATCCAATATTACTAATTACAATTGATTTGATAGAATATACTGATGAATTTATTGGACAAAAAATTGATGATGATTGAGAAAGACTATTGTTGGTACCATTGCTACGATAGCCAGGTATAGAAATAAGTTTCTGTGCAGTCACTGTTGATTCTTAAGAGATATATTTATTTTTTTAATTATTCATGTTAATTTAAAGTTATACATACGTCGACGAAAACGTTCTAAATGATCGCCTGATTTGTATGAACTGTTGTGTTCATCCTTTGTATGTAAAAACGAATTCGATGACATAAACTAAAACGATGAACATGTAAACAGTAATACGTAAAATAAATATGGATATACATACAGCTAAATTCATAATTATTTGATTGTAAATAAGAATGGTTAGATATAGCAAGTAGTTCATTGTTATTTTGTTAATGATCTGTACAAAAACAAAAGTAGCAAACTAATTAAAAACAATACGTTAACTTCTTATTATATCATTCTGTGCTGTTTTCAATTATAATCATACCAAATGTAACCTATTTTTAATATAAAGTCCAAACAGATGTTTGTCGTGTCTAATTGATTTCTTACGTGTTTTTTTACTCGGTGAAGAATTCATCAAAGGAAGATCTCGTTGATAATGTAATACACAAAAGACTAATCAGTATTAATATGAACTCGATTGTTGTAAAATTTATTTTATATAGATAAAATCTAAAGTAAGTGATTGATTTTAATTTTATCAGTAGAATTTTTCTTTAGTCATGTTCTGTTCGATAAAATGACGTTAATTAAAAATCTGATTTTCATTTTAATGTCATCTGTTGTTCAGAAAGAAGTAGAAATTTATGTTATCTTTTGTAAATTAACTAGTGTTAATACAATTCAAGGTAAATTTGAAGGTGAAATTGATATTGTATCATCATGGTTAGATACTATACATGGTAATTATGATCATGAACGTCATTGGAATCCTCGACTTGTCTATGAAAATATAATGGATAAAGATAGTAAAATTCGAACACGTATTGAAGTTAAACCTCATAATGATAATGAACATCATTTTGTACGTATTGTTCAATATCAAAAAATAACTGGAACATTTTCTGAATGGCTTCATGTTAAACAATTTCCATTTGATGTTCAAAAACTTGGTATTATCATTACAAGTCTACATCCAATATCACGTATAACATTAATTGGTAAACAAGAATATTGTTATTTAGCACAAAAAGCTATACGTGAAAATGATAGTTGGGATTTTAATCAAACTGTTTCAATCGATTATAGTACATATCAAGAACATACACCATATTTACGTTCACAACAATATCCATTAATAAAATTAAATGCATTAATTGCACGTAAAAGTCAATTTTATATAACAAATTTAATTTTACCATTATTTTTTGTCACATCAACAATATTTGTTTCATTTACACATGATGTTGATGCTGTTAGTACACGTTTATCAGCATGTGCAACAACATTATTAACATCAATTAATTTTCGTTTTATTATACATAATTATTTACCCAATGTACCTTATTCAACTTATCTTGATATGTATTCAATGGGATCAATTGTATTTATAACATTAGTTTTTTTGTTGGCATGCATATAGTATAAAACAATTAGATAGATATACATATGCAAAATTAGATATATATATGTTATGTCTTTTTGCTATTATTTATCTTTTAGGACATGTACTATTTATTATATTTGCATGGATTATACCAAAACGACGACAAAAAATATTTTTAAAAAAAATGCCTCAAGCAAATAATATATCAGATGAAAATCAATTAATTGAATTAGAAAATCTACTTGGTTATGAACGTAGCATGGATAAAATAACAATTGATTAAAACAAATCGTTTTTATTTCTTTAAAAAAAAATTTTATGAATAAAATGTTTTGTTTTCTTTTGACATATTAATTAGTAATTGTGTTGGAATAAAACGATCACCATGTTTTAATTGATAACTGCTCATTAAATCAACTATTTTTGAAATACCATACGTATCCATAAAACGAAATGGACCTAGAAATTGAAAATTAGATATAAATTATATAGAAGAATAATATTGTATATACCTCCTTTCATTGGTGAAAAACCAAGACCGAATACAGCACCAATATCACCATCGGTCTACAAAGAAAATAAAATACTTTGGATGTCATTTAAGTGGTTAATAAAACAAAAAATTCAAAAATCAGTAGAATTATTGAAATTATCAGTAATTAATTTGGTAGGTCCATAATAAAATTTAAACGATCAGTAAATCAAATGAAATGGAAAGTAAAAAAATATAAACTTGTGCAAAGATGTACTACTTCTTTTTTTTTTTACTAACAAAAATCATATTTTTTCACTGCTATTTCCACAAAATCTACTGACCATTTTTTGAATTGTTTACTGATTTACTGATATTTCAATTATTTTACTGACCGCAGAACATATTCTGAAATACTTTCTATATACAGTAAAACCTCTCATAGTGAAATCCTCGGTTGTATAAACGGTCTCAGGTCCGACTGAGCGATTTTTACTGGGAATGCATCTCTCCAATGTGAACATGTCTTCATTCTGAACAGTGAACGCTTTTTTTCGGTCCCGGCTGGTATTGTCACCTCTTTGATGTGAACATATATACGATGTTTTTTTGACCTCTTTCTACTTTCTGTCATATATTTTGATGAGCTGACTAATTCTAATTCAAATAGAAATGGACAGCCAACTGCACACTACGAATTTGAAAATAAATGGTGAAATTTAGGAATACATTTAGTTTTACTCTAAGATGTATATGATTCATATATACGACCAAAGGGTGGGTGAAAGAAGGTGGCAAAGTGGGTAAGGAGGATTTATCTGAAGATTATGCTAAAACTAGATCTATTCTTAGAAATAGTTATTCCTTTTTTATATCCGTTTATATTCGAACCCGAATTAGGCAGCTATCCGTCGCGATGGTGTTCACATTAGGAAGGGTTTACTGTAAATCTAAACAAGAACATACTGGCGAATTTATAATATTTTCTTCAAGACATTTGGCAGCTTCATTTAAAAGACGAAGGCATATACGCCATTGAATATCTTCTATTGTTGATCTAAAAATATTGATTTATTTATTTATTAAAATAAAATATATATTTATTTACATTTCTTTAGTTTGTATTGAAGTATCTTTAATTAATTCTTTAATTTTTGGATTGATTTCTTTTTTATTATGATTATCATTTGAATAAATATATAAACCTTGTTGAGATTTTTTTCCAAATAAATAATTTCGAATAAATTTTCGAAATAATTCTATGATAGATAAATCAATAAGACGTTCACCAAATATCGTTTGTAAATGAAATACAATATTAGCAATTATATCAATACCAAATTCATCTAATAATGTTGCTAAACCAACATGAAAACCAAAATTTTTTGTTGCCTTATCAATATCTTTCGGAGATAAACCTTCATTTAAAAGATAGAATATTTCTACACTAATAAATGCTAATAAACGTGTAGTATAAAATCCTGGTCCATCATTAACAACAGTAATAATTTTTCCTTGTTTAAGACCAATATGAACTGCTGAACAAATTGTTTCATCAGATGTTTGTTTCGTTCGAATTATTTCTAATAATTCAACTTTATCAACTGGAGAAAAATAATGCATACCAATAATCTATTATTTTGAATGTAAAAATTAAAATTTTTTACTTTAAAAATCATTTACTTTATCGGGTCGTTGACTATTAGAAGCTATATCATGAATAGATATTGTATAGGTATTAGAAGCAAATATACAATGTTCAGAAATATGTTGTTCAAGTTTATCGAGAATATTTTGTTTTAATTTTAAATCTTCGTATAAACTCTCGATTATAATATCACATTTATATAGATTATCGAATATTGTTTGACAATTTAAATTGGATAATATTCTTTTATATTCAGTACTAAATTAAAACAATATTAAATCATAATATGTTATAATTTAATTTTTACTGTGTTATTCGATTTCGTTTAATATAATTTTGATAACCTTTTGTTATTTGTAATTGACCACGAGAAAGTGCATGTTCAGTTGTATCATATAAAATTACTTGTAAACCTTTATCGATCGATACATGCGCAATACCAGCACCTAATAGACCAGCACCAATAATAGCAATTGTTCTATAATATCTCATATATAATACTGTTCGTGTTAATGTTTAATTAATCTTACTTAATTTCTCTATTTAATTTTCCGAATTTATTTTTTTTACATTCAGTACGTCCATGAAATAGACTAATTAGTGCTTCTGATTCATTGGTCATACCAAGGTCAGCAAAAGCCTAAAATTCGTTATTTTCGAAAGAAAAAAATAATCAAAAATTTACTTCTGCTTCAGCATTTAATCCAGCTTGTGTACCATGATCTAGAGTTTGTTTAATGACCTAATGATAACTTTTTTTTTATTGACTTGTTTTTATAATATGTAGATTTAATACAAACATTTAAAATTCTCAATGGTGCTGGATAAAGACCTTGTGTTTGTGCCATTACTTTTGCTTCAGCTTGCGAGAGAATATAGTTTCTTACATGACTATTTAACATTATTTTTGATTTTATATCTAAGGTAAATAAGTAATGATGAATAACAGTAAAAACATGAAATCTTACTTTCGATTAGACCATATTGTCGTTTAAAAGGTCGTTGTACAATAAATTGTCTGGTAAATAAAAAGAATTTCTCAGTCTCAAAATTTATAATAAATAATGATGTACTTGGCTTTTTGTACGGCAAATGAATATAAATACTCCATATTTTCCAAATCTGTTCCGATAGATTGAACAAGAATATCAACTAAACCCATAGTTTTAGCTTTTTTCGCTTGAATTTCTCTTCCAGTCAACAAAAGATCAAGTGCATCAGGTAATAAAAGATTCTGTAAAAGTCTTTGTGTACCACCAGCACCAGGTAATAATCCTAATTTAACTTCAGGTACACCAAATTTAGTTTGTTTATCATTCAATGCAATACGATAATGACATGCTAAAGCAACCTATAATCATCAAAACAAAATTTATCTCATAAATCAAAAACTAATTATAATAATAGATTAACTTCAAATCCACCACCAAGACACGATCCAGCAATAGCTGCAATGATTGGTTTTGGTGATTGCTCAATTTGATTCATAATATCTTGACCATTACGTGACATTTTATAAAGTTCATCACGAGATTGAGCGGATTCAAGCATACTAAATAAATCAATGAAGATACGAAGAAAAAACTAATTCGATCTAACTTAATATCAGCTCCAGCTATAAATGAACCAGGTTTAGCTGATATAACGACAATTCCTTTGATGTTATCATTATTTTGTAATTGATTAAATACAGGAACGAATTCATTCATCATTCCTTCGGATAATGTATTCACCTTAATTATTAATAAAATAAAATCTTTTTAGTTTTTTTTTTGAATAAAATCTTACTTTAGCATTTTCTTGATTAAATTCTACAATAGCAATACAATCGTCATAATTAATTGAAAGATTTTTTAAATCAGCTAAATAATTTTAATGTAGTAGACAAACAAAATAAGAATATAAATCTTACTCATTGATTTCTAATGCAAATTGTGAATCAAACGAAAGAAATTATCAATTTTAAAAGATCGAGAAGACAGTTTTTTTCGTCTGTAATTTACCTTCGAAAGAAAAATTAACCAATAAAAATATAGACTGATAAAAGGAATAGCTAAAGACAATTTTTACTATTTGAAATGAGAAGACTGCGCATATATTTTTCGTCTTTATTCAAATTGAAATCATTAAAACACAAACAAAAAAAATAATTCATAAAAATTTGAAAAAATAAAAATAATTTGTTCAATACAAATTCTGACTAGATTTGATAAATATTATATCATACACTTAAAAAATAATTAAGTTTATTGGATTTTAAATAATTTTGAAGTCGACTGGGATAATCAGTCATTACACCGGTAACAGACATTTTTTGAAATGCATATTCAAATTCTTGATTCTCATTCAATATCCAAACGTAAACCTAGAATTTAGAGAAATTGTTTTCTAACAAATTCCTATTAAATATGAATACATACCGGGATACCACGTCGTTGTAAATGTACAAACATTCCTTTACTATTTAATGCTCTGAATATAATGAAATAGAATGAAAAATAGTTCAATAAAAATAAATTCCGTACCTTTCAGCGAGGAAAAAAAGCGTTCTTTGTAAGCAAGTTAAATTTTGTGCTTGTTTTCTAAAGTACAAAAAAAAGTTTTTTATGTAAAATAAATTTTTTTTGGTTTTACCGAAAAACTTCACCGGGTATAGGTACTTCAAAAGCACCTAGAAATAAAAAGATAAATCAATGAGAAAGAATAAATTTAATAAATTTACCAGGTACTAATGGTATAAACGGTAATAAACCAAGCCAATATGTAAGAACAATAACGGCTGCTTCTTTTAAAGAACAAAAACGAACAATACGTGAATTCTAAAAATCATAAATAATCAAGATTTTTTATTAAAGAAAAAATTAAATTATACTTCAACAGTTAGTTTTTTGCATACAACATCATTAAAACTACCCCAATAAGTTATATGTTCTCGTCGATATTCTTGAATAAGTTTTGAAACCTAAAATAGAATATTCCATTTCTTATTATAAAACAGAATCTACCACCTCGACTCTCCTCCACAAATTATGATCGTATATTTTAATTAGTGTCTAATTACCTATTATAGACTGTAACCGACATTTTAATTATTTTTTGTCTAATTCAATCAACTGAACATGACAAACAGGTTCTTACAATCATCAAAAATCCAGTATGAAGATGGGTACATACTGTAACAGATGCCTTTATGATACTATCAAAGATTATGTATAACTCAAATTTCGTTAAAATATCTATGACATAAAATTCTATACATAGAACTATTATGACACAAGAATTTATGTTTTTCTATAGAACAATTTTAATAAAATATCAATTACCTTTTGAATAAGCTCATCATTATTTTCTTTAACATCAATATTAATTGGTGTTGTTGGATAACGTTCGAAAACATCTTTTAATAATGGTATACGTAATAATTCACTATTTGGTAGATTATTATCACATGATATAATGACAGCTATAAAGAAAATCATTTAATTGATTAACGAAAAATACTTTATATATTTACATGTGTCATAATAAAGTTCTACATTGGTATTAATCAATGGTAAATCCTAGAATAGGAAAAATATTTGATTGTTTTTTTATTAATATTAGTTTACATTATAATCAATATCTCGAATAAATTTATCTTCACCGGTTGTTCTATTTATTGAAAAATCATGATGAACAACAACTTGATGATCTTTAGTTAAATGACAATCTAATTCAAGCATTTCTACTCCATTTGTTAGTCCTCTGTAGAAGAAAAATTAATATTAAAATAATTTCTCTTGTTATCATACTTGTCAAATGCAAGTAAAGAATTTTCAATTGATTCTCCAGCTCCTATATAAAAAAAGATAATGAATGAGAAAAAAATATAAATTTTTTGATTAGTATACCTCCTCGATGAGCTATATTTCGAGCCATAAAAGCAGGTTGACGGTGTTTGTGAAGCCATTTTGGTTTACGAAGAAAGATAAATGATAATATAATATAAACGGCGGGAACCGCTAAGAAAACAAGATAAACCAACATTAATAAGAATTGATTATAAGTAAAATTATTTAGTTGCCTATATATTCAATATATTATATGATTCATCAATAAATATTATTGGCTCATAGTTTAGTTAACGCCATCTATACGTCAATTTTATGTATATGCAAACAATAATTGTATCTGCATAAATGAAATGATTTGCTTAGTATTGATCGATTGATTAAAATAGAAAATCTAACAATCTATTAATCAATGTTATCATGGCAACAATTGAATTTTAATCAGACAAAAATACTCACCCAAGTGAACTTGTGTGCTACTCGTACGCGTACGTGCAGTGCGCGTACTTACAGTGCGTGTATCAAACATGACGTACACATAAAAGGTTCGACATTAGGCAAGGTGTGAATATGGGTGTCTCTTATTGATCTAAAGAGAATATCCACATCCACACCCAATTCTTTGAATATTTTAAAAAGGTCTAATAAATATCAAATCTTCTTTGTATTGAAACTGTCAAAGATTATTTTTCATCATATAAAAAGAAAGAAAGACAAATTGATACCGATTCAAGAGAAAAAATTCGACTAAAAATCGTAGTCTCTTTTATATGAAATACTATCAAAGAGGAATTCGAAACTTGTCGTCGAACAAATTAGTATTTCTATATGAAATCAATTAGTTGTATGCATATAGTTAGAATGAAACATCAATTTCCTTAGGAAAACTAGTAGCAAACAGTCTATACATATATAAGTTTCTCAAGTGAATAAGATATAACATTCTATTGACGAGTTCAAAAAGTATATTCAAACAAGCGTTGTGTAGATAATGTGTATAGTCTATAAAGTACAATAAGATGAAAAAATGAGAAAACTCTAAAATAAGTACTTGACTCTTTTGTTTTCTCTTCTATTAGTAATAAATGAAAGTGCATAAATTGATAAGAAGAAATCAAAGAGTGCATGTTACATTCAAATGTATATTTTGAAAACGGAAACACAATATCCGTAATTTCTTGATTATTATGTTGTATTCACAGGCCGGAAAAGAAAAGAATGACATCTTACGAATGAAACTGATCAAGTGGTTAATTATCGGAGACAAGTGGCGAAGAACGTTTTATGAGTGAATATTTTTCTACTTTTTCATTTCTTGGTGATTATTAGGTAGTGATGGTACCTCCTATTGTATATGAACTTTTTATACTCTCTCTACTATGGAGTAGATTAACAAGTGATTTTGCTCCTGATACTAAGTCATACGATGCTTATGGACTTAAATTAGCAGCCAATGATGTGATGATGGTCGAAGTAAGGAGTGATTCGAAAACATTTCTCGTTCAATTTGCACCATACAATTACGCGACTACTTCATTACAATGTTCAGTTAATTATGATGATTCAACACATTATGTATATTCAGTAGGCATAGGTTCACAACAGAAGACTAATACAACACCATATTTCTTTATCGTTGGTGAAGTTTTACCTCCTACTGATCAGTCTGGTCATAATGGAACATTTATAGGTTTATGGCGAAACAATGATACAACTCTTGCTCAACAATATGCTGACGCTGAACAAACAATATCATGTGATTATTTTCAAATTGAACAATTAAAATTTCTTTCCGATTATGCTCACCAAGAGTTTATGGTACTTACTGTTGATCCTTACGGTCAATTTGCACTCGTTCTTGCCACTGATTTTGTCTTCATTTATCGTCCATTTACAAATAATTGTAATGATGTTATTACTGTAACTAAAAGTACTTTAGTATGGCCGAATAATGTTACTTTCATGCCACGTGCTGCCGATACAGATATCAATTTTACAATAGTCGCTGGTTTTGTTGATCAAGGTCCAAATTCACAAATCCGTTCTAAACCTATTGTATATCTTATGTCAAACAATTTAGTTGTTCTCGATAGTTGGTCATATACGCCAACTAATAGTACATGGCAAAGTCGTTTAACGAATGCAGGTTCAACAGGTATTTGGTCAGCTATGTATGTTATGTCAGTTGATATCAATCCATTCGATCATACTCGAGTACTTGTTGGTTTACCATCAACAAATACATTACTTTTCTTTACCGTAAGTAATGATTATACTAAAATAACACTTACCAGTTTTATTGATAACGGTGGCAATCTTGGATTTGGCAAAGGTGTAGCATGGCTGGCATTAAATCAAGCAGCTGTATTGAATAGCGCATATTCACTCGATTATAATACATGGTTTTCATCTCAAGTTTATCTCTATACCAATGCAAATGAAACAAGTCTTGGTGCAGCAGTAACAGCAGTAATTCCTAACACTCAACAACCTTTAGGCACGACAATTAGTCCATTAATAATTAATATTATCTCTACACCTTCTTCACTTGCTATACTTAATGGATCAGGTGGTATTCTCTTTCTATTGGCAACGGTACCTGGATATTACGCTTCAACAGATACGAGCAAATTACGCGGTACAGCAACAATGCCTGTTATAAGTCAACAAGTGACATGCATTGGTGGTACTTATAAGAATGATATTGGAGTTCATTCCTGTTTTCCATGTGTAAATGGATCAAAGAATTCACGTGATACAGCAGGTAAACTATTATAGAAAGATATATCAAAGCATCTCTTAAGATTACTTGAAATAGTTTTGTATCATTTGAGATACCGAGCATATCGGAATAATATTTTATCATATCAAATTTTTAGGTATTGTTTGTACAGCGTGTGCTTCATCTGCTTTTTGTCCTCTTGGAGCTGTTGCAGAAGTCGATGCAAGTGAATTGCAAACAATATCTCAAGCTCAAGCATATCCAAAATCTCCTGAATCGACTATCTTCGATGAAATTCTAATTCAAAATATGTTCTCTATTGGAGGTTCATTTCATTGTATACTTGTATCTCCACTATTTTGGACATTTACTGTCATGGTAATGGCTACTCTAATTCTCATTTTAATGTTCATACTCAAGTTTTGTACTATTCATCCGAAAAAACATATATGGCGTGAACAAATAAAAAAAGTTTTTCGACAAATGGATTTAGTGGTACGTCTCTTTTGTCTGGGTGTGGGTGT